GCTCATTTGCATTAGCTCTGACCTCTTTTCTGAAATGCTCTTCCCCAAAATACCTTTAGGACTCACTCAATTTATTTGGATCTCTGTTCAAATTTGACCTCCTCAGAAAGGGTCTTCCTGGCCATCATATTTAAAACAAACTCCTCACCCTACTATCCTGCCTTCCTTTAAAAATTAAAGCTAATCACTATTTGACTTTCTAAATGTTTACTGTTTGTCTTTTGTCTACCTCATCCCAAAAGATTTAGATTTAGGTTTAGATTTTGGTCTGTTTTTTGGTGCCTACTAAGCCCTTAATAGATACATGTGAAATACATCAAGTGAAAATAATGTCTTTAAATCTCTGTACTGAAAAGGATGGGATTTAAAAAACCAGCTGAGAGACAGCCACCTTCAACCCTGCCATAGAAGTTTTACTCTTCAATGGAATGGATATCAGTGCTGTGGTAAGTGTTTAATACTTATGTTTGTTTGTGCTCTCTGAAAGTAAACATGAAATTCTTGGTGCAGAGATCAGAGGTACTATTAGGGTGACAATCCTACCAGTCCCCCTCTGCCCCTTCTCTCTGCCTTTCTCCGGAAGCAATGTGACAGGCTGTAAATGCAAAGGCAATTTTTGCATTACAGGAGAGGAACCCCCAAAAAGGATGCATTTGGGAGTTTATATACGTGTCATCCTTCTCTGGTGCTGAGAGATGTAAGGAAGCTTAATCTCCCAATCTAAACAAACTATAACTGGGACATGAATAAGAGAGTTTCAAGGTACTTATCCTTTGGAATGCCAAGTCCTGCAGTTTGGCAAACCCAAGAAAGTTTCCTGATTCTGGATTTTACTGACCTTTGAAATGTAAACACGTAAGTCAGTCCAAGGGAGAGTGAATCTCAGTTCTCACTCTCTATCCAGCCATTTTTAAACTTTCAAGCCTCGTTTGTTAATCTGGAGGGTTATTGCACAGGGTTCAGTTCCCTTAATCCTGTGGTTATTCCTCCATTCCTCATTGCCTCCCAGCCTGTTAGAACAGGAGTTAATGTGTACGGAATGTGAAGGAGAGCCTTCATAAAAGAGATGGTCTTTGAGTGGCTTCAAAGGGCAGCTCAGATCTCTTAAAAGGGCAAGAAGGGAAGGGAGAAATAGCATTCTAATGAGGGAGAAGAGCAGACCCAAGGCAATTGATGACTTAGTCCTTAAAAATAATGATGTGTGTCTACTGAAATAAATTTTCTCCAAATATTCCTGAGTGACAAAAACTGGGGGAAAAACAATTCATAGAGTGTATTCTTCTTAATGTAAAATAACATATTACATATTTCTTAGTATATGTATTGTGTATTACTGTATGCATACATTACAAGCAGAAGTTTGCAAATCGATCTTCAAGGACCTCCAAAAAAGTTGTGAAGTTAGGTAATATCAAATAGCGACTTTGCTTTATCTAATTGTTTGAATTCGTATTTTGTCATAGAATAGAATTTTGTGTGGGGGTGTGTGTGTATTAGTGTATTCCTTGGGAAATTAGGAACAACTTGTAGAGAAGAAAGAATAAACATGCTCAGTAGAAAAAAAGAGCATAGATGAAAAGATAATTGGATGGCAGGATGGAAAGAAAATATTTTTGTATTTCTGTGTGGTTAAGGGTTTCTGCTATTTCTGCCTTTCCTTCTTGCCCTTTTAAGAGATCTGAGCTGCCCTTTGAAGCCACTCAAAGACCATCTCTTTTATGAAGGCTCTCCTTCACATTCCGTACACATTAACTCCTGTTCTAACAGGCTGGGAGGCAATGAGGAATGGAGGAATAACCACAAGATTAAGGGAACTGAACCCTGTGCAAGGTTTGTCCTCCTGGAGTGTTCATAAATCAAGGCGCAGTCTATTGGAGTAGGACAAACTGGCAGGTGGTTGTGGGCAGTATCCTTACCCGGGGGGGAAAGGGTTTTAGGTGGGGAATCTCCAATAGCGGTAGTATTTCTAATTCAGGGGGAAGGTGGGGTGTTTGGGTTTTAGGGCTATCCTTTTTTGAAAAAGGGTTTCCCCACTAATAGGAGTGACTAGGGAAAGCACTGGGTCTATCTACTTCTCAAGGACTTAGAATTGAAGTACATGTCAGAGTCTCTCCTGGTTAATTTGAAATTCAGCACAGAATACCAGTCCCAGCTATAAGGATTATGGAAGAAGTAGTTTCTTGTGGATAAACACACTTTTGAGGTTAATGGAAAAGGCTGCAGGGACACAGTGAATAAAGGGAAAAAATTTTCTGAGTGTTAAAAAGCAAAAATTTAATTGATTGAATTTGACAATGAAATTGACTTTATTCAGCAATTCATGAATCTAGCAACATCCCGTCTAGCAATGAGCTATAGAAAACTGGACTGTAGAAAAGGAAAGACTTTCAATGGTGGAAAGGGGGCAGAAAAAGGAAATTAGTTGCAAAAAGTGCATTGTTTCATGAAAATTTGCCTTTCTAAGCAGAATGGAGGGCCTCTGGAATGGGTAACCTCACTAGTGTGAACAAGGTAATTTCAGATTGACTGGTTAAAATTTTGCATTCCTGGCTGGGCGGGGGAGGTGGGGGGTTGAAAATGCAATTAGCTTAGGTAACAAGTCCTTGGTTTGCTGAGGTGGTGTTTAGTAGAGGTGACTCTGTTCTGAACCCGTATCTCCTTTTCAACATAAGGAATAACCTAAAATGAGAAAAATAATTAAAACCCTCTTCTCCTCTACCTCTTCTCCTCTGCTGTAGCAGATTTGGTTCAAAAACTAGACATTGTTGATGAAAATCTTTTATCTATAGCTGATCAAGAGTGAGAAGAGTGAAGACATTTACTCTTCTTCTCTGTACTTCCTTTGTACTTTACTGTTAAGATAAATGACCTTTATTGATAGTGTTCTATTATAATGTGAGCTTCTTAAAGGTAACTTCTACTGCTGACCAAACTATGTGTGTCCAGTGACCAACATGATGTCCAGTACTTAGTTGATGCTAAGAAATTGTTCCTTGGATTAATTTTTAAATAATTACTTGAATTGTATCCAAAAATACTCATTTGCTCTCAACACAGCTTAAAACAAAACAAAACAAAACAAAAACCAAGCAGAAAATTAATTGAATTGACTGCCTTTAAACTTTCTGATCATTTTTGGTTTTTATTGTGCTCCAAGCCCGAAATTCAAAAGCAAATTAATGTTCCCTTGTCAATCGTCACAGATGCTCTATGTGACTGGAGAGTAGCATGATCCTATCCTGTCAGTGATAAAGCCGCTCTTCCGGACCAAACTTTCCTCAAGCTCCTCGGAGCCCCCTGCTCATGAGACCTGGTCTTGAGCTTCATCTCAGTGCTTGTGGAGTCTAGTTTTGACAGGAATCCTGCCAAATCAGTTTAGCAATATCTGATCACACTCAATATGTGACCAAATTCCTCATCCCCGACTATCCTCCAGGGTAATACCTGGTAGCTGTGGCTACTTTCAGGAAGATTCTTGTTCGGTTAGTTTAGCAAAGAATGGCATTCTACCGTCTTAGTAATTTTCTGTCCATTGACCCCTTCCCACATAGTTATGCACCTTATAAATCCCCATCCTGCCTTGCTATATAGCAAGGGGCCTCTCTCCCCTACTGCAAACCCTCATTTCACTAATCCCGGTACCCACTGCAATCATCTGCATCTGCCTTATAGTCTTTAACAAGTTTCATGAATAATTTTTTTCTTTAAAACTAGCTTAGCCCATAGCCTCAGAAAAATCTGGAGTTGGTCTGGTGGTACAAAGTTTTCAACAGTAAATTCTTTCCCTCTTTCTTTCTTCTTTTCTTCCTTCCTTTCTTTCAGTAGACCCCATGCCCAACATGGGGCTTGAACTCACAACCCAGAGATCAAGAGTCACCTGATTTACCAACTGAGCGAGCCAGGTATCCCTTCTACTTCTATATATATAGAAATGTACTACATGGATTTAAAAAAATTCAAATAATGAAAAGATACAGTGTTTACCCTCATAGAGCTGATATTTATATAATTAACCAGTAAACTTTTCTTTTTGTTTTGACCTTGCAACAATCTTGTTCAAACCTTCTTGGATAGTGAGACGTTAACAAGATCCTAAATACTGAAAGTATAAAAGACTTCATATTTATTTATTCATATGCCTTCTTTTTCTACAATATATGTCACAGAAGAATAAAAATTAATTAATAAGGGACTATTTCTAGGAAATATAAAGAATGTTTTCATTTCATCTATTAAAATGTTTCTGGTTTGTATGTTGTTGTTGTTTTTTTATACAGTGACCATGCATGTGTTTTTAAGTTGAAGTATAAATGAGGGGGAAATGTTTATGACATTTGGTGCCAACTTGTTTGTTTGAACTAAGATTAGCCAAATATGATAATGAGGAAGCAGATAGAAGGGCAAGGAGAGCGCTCACTGGTGATGGCTTAGTAACCACCACCAATGTTCTACCTTCTAAGATGAAAGGCTGGCTCCAAATTCAACTATCAGTGCAAGAACTTGCAAATAATCATGGAATCACCTGCTAGAAGAGACAATTAATTAAACCAGCTCTTCACATAGCAATAATAATAATGAGAATAACCAAATTGAAATATGCCTACCCACACTGCTGGAATCATGTAAGACTTAAAAACAAAAACAAAAACCAAAACCATGAAGCCTACAAAAGGATACAAATGAAGACTTGTGTAGTTGGAAGATTCTATAATTTTACACAGGAAGACACAAACTCATACACTTGACAATTTTTCGTAAGGCAGCTCATAAAGCATTCAATCTAAAATAATTCAGTTTAAGTACATAGCTCTTTGATGGCCTGGCCTAATCCAAGGGTAACATTTTAAATATCCAGAGGAACAGATAGAACCCACTCCCTTCAACAACTCTCCATAAATATTGCTTATCCTAACTAGGCTTTTGATAAGTACTGGACAGCAGAGATTTCAAAATTACTATTTCTGGCAAGTTAAATTTAATTTCTTTTCTATTTGAGCAAGATGTGGAGGTAAGCATAAGGCAGAGGAAGCAATGTGTTCTCACAAACTAGCAAAGAGAGAACACGGGGCTCTACTTGTCCTCTTGTATCTCTACAGCCAATGTTCATCCTACACATATTAAAGTAACATGGGTGATGTTTTTCAGTTTACAGAAATTTTTAATAATAATTACTCCTTTCCACTTAGTAGGGGAGGTAAATGTTGTAATCTTTTATGTTAAGAAATACTAGTTATAGTAATTACCTGGCTAGCTCAGTTCATAGCAAGCAGGGCAGGCAGCCTCATTATCAAGTCTGTTCTCATTCGCTATCCTGTGTTATACAGTATACCATGGAGGGCACTGTGACCTCTTGAACATTTCATTCCTTATCTCAGTGTATTTATAATTTTGTGATATTGCTGATGATATTGAACTGTACCTGAAGACCACGTCCCTGGAAAAGAGGGGAGGTTGAAGGAATTCCTTCACCATTTTGTGTCCCAGAAAAGGGCTTACTGCAAAGAAACCCCTTGGGAGGGGTCTGATCATCAGCATCTGCATCTGTGTCTACCCATGCAATGGCTCCTGGGAGCTTTGCCTCCAGCGACATCTCAACATCCTCAGCGTCCTCAGCCCCCTTGCCCTCCACAGTGGGGTCGTCTGGACTGTCTGGGTCTGAAGAGCCAGGCCCGAGTCACAGCGCCATGTGAGGACCTCACAGAAGTACCCTGTGGCGGACAGCCTCTGGTTCAAGCACCTGCTGAAGCAGGTCCTGGCCACGGGCTTGCACCGCTGTCTGCTCATCAGGCCCACCAACTCCAAGGCCAGGGGTGCCACTGGCAGCTTCAAATTGGTTTCCAAGCGTAAAAGGAAAGTCCAACCCAGAAAGACATCTACCATGACAGCCCCCAGGAAGCCCAGTGAGGTCAAGGAGAAGGTCCCTAAGAAATCGAGAGAGACAAAGAAGGGCCCTTCCAACCCAGCTGAGGTGAAAAGGGGACTGAGGAAGCCTTGAGAGGTGAGGATGGCTCCTCCCAAACCAGGTGCAGCCAAAGAGAAGGTTCCCAAGAAAGGCAGCCAGACCAAAGATCAAGAGGCAAGAGTGAGTGAGGCCAGGAAGGCCTCCCAACAGCCAGACAAGGCCCCATGGGCCCCTCCCAGTGCCACTGGGCTCAGTGGGAAGTCAAAGGTCAAAGGCAGAAGGAAGAGCCAAGGTGGTGAGGCCCCCAGGAAGACAAAAGCTGGGAGTCAGAGTGTAAAATCCACAGTCCCTCAGGGCAAGAATGGTGCTGTTTCTCCAGCCAAAAAGAAGGACAACCACATCCCTAAAGAGGTCATTGCCCATGTGGCCAAGGAGGGGCCCAAAGCCAAGGCCTCTGCTCATCCCAGGGGTGGCGGGCCTAAGATAGTACCTGAACCTCTGGCCAGGAAGATAGAGGCTCCCAAGGGCCCGAAGAGGCCGGGCATGCCCACCAAGGCCTCATCATCCAAATTAGCCAGTAGGAAGGCGGAGGGTGAAAGCTAGAGCTGGGGTGGAGACACGGAAATCCTACCCGAGTTTTTATTCCCCCAAAAACTGCCACTCTGTTTATTTCATTGTAACCTATTTATCATTAAAGACTTCTTTTTCCATCATAAAAAAGAGGTCATCTTTTTTCCCCATAAGAAGAGGACTTCCTCCCCATAGGACTCAGATTAAGACTCAGGGATGGCCCTTTGTTTACAGACAAGCCAAGACACAGACATTCTGGTTTCTTATTCTTTGCCATGTAAATGGTGTCCCATTGATCAATGGGAACAAAATATTTGTTAACTAATCTTTGGTTCAGATTCCCTCCCTCCATTATGAAATAATAGAAAATATATATTGGTTTCTGCTCCTGGTTCCTGGCGTAGGGCTCTTAAAACTTTTATCATTGGGGTGCCTGGGTGGCTCAGTGGGTTAAGCCTCTGCCTTCGGCTCAGGTCATGATCCCGGGGTCCTGGGATCAAGCCCCACTTCGGGCTCTCTGCTCAGCAGGAAGCCTGTTTCCCTTCCTCTCTCTCTGCCTGCCTCTCTGCCTACTTGTGATCTCTCTCTGTCAAATAAATAAATAAAAATCTTTAAAAAACAAAACAAAACAAAAACAAAAACAAAAAAACCTTTATCATTTCCTGAGTGATGGAAGCATCTGACATACATTGACTAAATCTATTGGAATTTCCCGGGTGATTGGAGCATGTTTCTAATGAGGTGACTCTGGCTGGGTCCTGGATGGCTCATGGATGGGGGCTGTTTACCAGAAAGACCAACCCATGAAGTTTGGATCTTTCAGCCCCACCCCCCATCCTCTAGAAGGGAGAGTAGGACAGGCAATTGAGTTAATGATTGATTGCAGCTAAGTGATGAAGCCTCCAGAAAAATCTCAAAGTACGGGGTCATAGAGCTTCATGGTTGTAAACACATTCATCTGCTGGGAGGGGGGCACACCTCAAATCCATGGGGACAGAAGCTCCTGTGCTCAAGGCCCTTCCAGACCTCACTGTATACCTCTTTATCTGGCTGTTCATTTGTATCTTTTAAAATATCCTTTGAAATAAATTGGCAATAGTAAGTTAAAAAAAAAACTAAACAAAACCGTTTCCTCCTTCCTCTAGGAGTCTGAACTTTCTCTTACCTTCAGCTTGAATCAATTAACAACCCCTCCCTTAACAGCCCATTCTGAGAATAGATAGACTGGCCTCTGGATAAACATTCTTTTATTGGCTCTTCCCTCAATGCCACCCTCTCACCCAACTACTCCATGCATGGGTCTTTCTAGCCTTGTTGACTTTGTATGAAAGAAAATCCCTTTTGTGTAAGTAACTCCCCCCACCCCCATTCTCGGCTTTAATGAGGCATAACTGACAAACACAAATTGTGTATATTTAAGGTGTGCAATGTGATGATTTAAGTGTACACTGTGACATGATTACCATAATCAAGCTAATGAACACTTGTATCACCTCATATAGTCAACCACTTTTTGTGTGTGTGTGGTGGGAACACTGAAGATCTACTCTTTTAGCAAATTTCAAATGTACAATACAGTGCTAGTTACTACAGTCACCATCTTGTACGTTAGATCCCCAAAATTTATTCATTCTATAAACTGTAAGTTTGTACCCTTTGACCAATGTCTCCCCATGGTCCCCTAACTTCCAGCCCTCTGGTAACCACCATTCTCTCTGCTTTCTATGAGTTTGACTTTTCAATTCACATATAAGTCAGATCATACAGTATTTATTTTGCTTTACTCTTAGAATGCTTGCTAATCTCATAGTCAGAATGTGCTCCCTACTGTAATGTTCTCCCCCAACTAAGGCTCCCTAACACCTTGCAATAATTCTTTCAAATAAAATCCCTTCTTACTAAGTCCAGATTTTTTTTTGGTTTGGGGGTTTCTTTTTGACATTACAATATTACAATCCTGAAAGATCATTCTCTCTGTCACTGACTGGGTAAATGCTTTCTAATTTTAATCTGACCTTGATATTTATTCACATATTCTTAGCTCTAAATATTGGATTACTTGCTGTTGCCCAATCCTCAAAATATCAGCTCTGAACTTTCACAGCATTTTATAGCTCTGTACTTCTAAGTACATATACCTTATAATTCTTAGATAAAAGAAACTTTTGATGTAATATAGAAGTAAGTTTTCTTTCTTAAATCTGTGCAAAAGCACATAAATCTTAGATTACTTTATTGTCCTCTACAATATTTTGCTAAAATGCAGTGTTCTTCCCTTAATCTACAGCACATACATCATGGTCTGTGTTGATGTGACCATTATTTATTTAATCAGGCTCATTTGGAAAAATTTAACTTTATTTTTTTAGGACTCCTATTTTAGTTGGCATTTTTGGAAAGAAAAGACAACTACAAAACATCAGTGACTTACAATGAGAAAAATTAATTTCTTTTTTTAAAGATTTTATTTATTTATTTGACAGAGAGAGAGATCGCAAGTAGGCAGAGAGGCAGGCAGAGAGAGAGGGGGAAGCACGCTTCCTGCTGAGCAGAGAGCCTGATGCAGGGCTCAATCCCAGGACCCTGAGATCACGACCTCAGCTGAAGACAGAAGCTTACCCCATTGAGCCACCTAGGCATCCTGAAAAATTAATTTCTTGATCATGCTGCTTGAGGACTGCCACTCAATCATGGCTTAGCTGGGCTCTGCTGAATTTTACCTGTCTTCTCGTTGGGGGACTGAAGGTGAAGGAAGAAATACTATCTGGAACATTATGTTCTTATGGTAGATGATTAGAGCAAGACTGACAACCAAAACACACAAAGACTTTCCAAGCTTTTGTTCAGACATAGCCTATTGTCATGTCTGTTCATATTCAATTGAACAAAGCAAGTTACATGGTCAATTTAAAGATTATCGGAGTAGAGAACTATATTCTACCTGCAAGTAGCAAGGGCAGGACATTAATTTCCTTGGGCTGCCATAGCCAACTACTATAAACTGAGAGGATTAAAACAGCAGAAATTTATTCTCTCCCAGTTCTGGAGGCTCAGAGTCCAAAATCAAAATGTCATCAAGACCATGCTTCCTTTGAGACTGTGGACAGAATCCTTCCTTGCTCCTTCCTTCCTTCTGGTGGCATCTATCAAGCATTGGTGTTCCTTGGCTTGCAGCCCATAACTCCAGTCTCTACCTCTGTCTTCACCTCATATCTTTACCATTGTCTTCTTAGAAGGACATTATCATATTGGATTAGGAACTGCTCTTCACTACAGTAAGATATTATCTTGACTAGTTGCATCTGTAATGACCCTAAGGTCACATTCTGAAGTCCTAGGGTTAGAATTTTAATATCTGTTTTGGGGAGACACAATTCAACTTATAACAGGTAGGGAGGGAAATACCTTCTTATAAACACTACAAATCTACCACCATTTTTCTTCCTTCTCCCGTTTCTGACCTTTCAAGAATATAAACTATATAACCTACAAGAAATTGAGGAAGTAGAGATTGCATTGAGATTAAAAATGGAATCCTTCCCTAAGAAGTGGCTGAAGTAATAGAAAGTGGGCTGACTACAGCGTGGAGATCAGAGCAGAAACCCACAGGTGCTGTGGAACTGCATGAGTGTAAGCAATTTCCGTATCTTCAGATCCTCAGGACTTGCCCCTGGAGTACCAGTCCCCTGGTCTTGTTGGATCTAAGAAAGATTCTTGAGAGGGGGTTGGGGGTTGGGATGCAATTCAAACATGGGAATTACACCCAAGGCTCTCCACACGGAAGCAAAAGCACTTAGGTAGGTGAGAATTATTCTGATGCTATGTCTTGCCCCTTTCAAAACTGGCTCAGGTCTAACTGGGTGATTTCGTCAGAGATAGAACTATAGGGAATTGGAACAAGGTAAGAGACATGATGCAGAAATTCAATATTTTAAATGTCACCAGGTGCCACCAGGGTTGAGAATTACCGGACTAGACTAAGCAACAGGGAGAAGTCTAAGAAGCAATCTCCTCTGACCCCCAAAAGGATTTCTGTATCATTGCAAGGATCAGCAACAGGAATCTGAGAGAAGTTCTATAAGGACACCCTAAATCCCAGTCAGATCTTTCTGGTTTCCACGGGCATCTTCCTATGCTCTGAGACCAATCCCACTGGGAATGAGGAGGAAGTGAGAAGTAGAGGGACAAAGCTAGGGATGGTACAGGGAGATTAAGTGTACTTAACTGCTACAGTCCTTTGGCACAGGGGTCTATGATTGAGTTCTTGGATTAATTGATTCAGGTTCAAAACCCTAATTTGTGCAACATAACTTACTCATTGGGCTTAATTTTTGCATCTGACAGTGAGGATAATAGTACTAATTTGTAAGGCTATTGTGAGGATGAAAAGAGATAATCTATGTATGGTACTTAGCAGATTCTGAGAAGCAATAACCCCTTGTGAAACATTAGATATTATTATTGTTATTTAGCTATGATTTAACAGTTTAGCAAGTAAGGGACTTTTTCTTATGACCCCAAACCTGCTTTGTGTCCCAGATTTCTCACATATTTTTTTTCACATATCCGAATCTTCATCTGAGCACCTTATCTCCTCTCAGATAGGAATTAGACTTGGTTTTTTCTGTCGTTCTTGGAATTAGTCCTGTTCCTGAGCTCCAGGCTTGTGGCAACACCTCCGTCACGGGCTTAGCGCTTTCCCAACCTGTGTGGAGGCTGTCAATGTCCTGCCTGACTTTTAGAATACCACAGATTCTTCCACGCTCCAGCTCCTGACTCCTGACACACACATACCTATTACCTGTTACACCATGCTCTCTCCATTCCACGGTCCTAGCACCTTCTGCCTATCTGCTGTGTAATTATTCTTGCTTATTTTTATCAAGATATCTAATTCAAATCTAAATCATTTTAAAGATGAAGAATATACCTTATTGGAAGGGTTTACAATTATTCTGTCTTCTCTCTCTCTCTTTACTGTGAAACTTCTTAGAGCTAGATTCCAGTATCACAGTATCATCCTTCCAGTATCCACCTGCTGACAAAGTCTCAGAATACAGTTCTAGGACATACCTCCAAATGATAAATGTGATGATCACAGGATCACAGGTAACTATACATAAACTGCATGGCACATAGTAGGTATATTTCTATTTTTTTCCTCTTCCAATCATTGTTGCTGTCACAGATGGATGAATAAGGAGCGAGCCCAGTAACTAGTTATAGGTTAACATGGTACCAATAACAAGGTTGAGATATTACAAAATAAGTGTACTGGGGCACCTAGGTGGCTCAGTTGTTAAGCGTCTGCCTTCAGCTCAGGTCATGATCCCAGGGTCCTAGGATCGAGACCCCAATTTGGCTCTCCACTCAGCGGGAAGCCTGCTTCTCCCACTCCCCCTGCTGTGTTCCCTCCCTCGCTGGGTCTCTCTTTGTCAAATAAATAAATAAAATCTTACAAAATAAGTATACTATTAATATTTTTTCAAAATATTTTATAATTTGCCAAGGATTTGAAATGGAGAGTTTGAGAAGGGTTAAAATGAAAGGAACTTAAACCTATGTATTGGTATTGTCTTTGAGGATTAGACTCACTGAGGAGAAAAGGAATCAAAATAATAAAAGAAAAATGTGATTTCACAATCTTCCCACATGCTGATACTTGCTTGAATTCAAGAGAAGGAAATCCCTACAAAATAAATAGACCCACAAAAAAATAAGTGGTGAGGATTTTCAAAAGTCTTTACCAAATGATCAGTGCCGTTTTTAAAGATATAGCAATAATACACTAATTGTGTGATGGTACAGGTAGTAAAAGAATAAAAATTATAGCCTATTTTACACATAGTTTATTATTTTTTAATGTATAAATTTGTTAAAATAACTGGATAAGTCTAATTTAGAATCAACAATGTAATTTATAGGTCTACACTCCTGTTTTTAGCTTTAAAATTAACTCCAGGGGCGCCTGGGTGGCTCAGTTGTTTAAGCATCTGACTTTGGCTTAAATCGTGATCTTGGGGTCCTGGGATTGGCTGGCATCTGTCCTGGGTCAGGCTCCAGTGGGTAGTCGGCTTCTCCCTCTCCCTCTGCCACACCCCCTGCTCATGCTCTGTCTCTCTCTCAAATGAATAAAAAAAAAAAAAAAAAAAAAAAACTAACTCTAACAATTGGATAACAAAACTGTATCTGATAGGAATGACAATGAAAGATAAAATAATAAATTTGACTTTGACAAAATATGAATTTAAGATTTTCTTTTGCTAAGATTACATGAAGATGTTGAGTTTTATAAATTATTTCAAAATTCCCAACATTAAGTTATCTGGCATTTCAAAGTACCCATATGCTCAGTTACATGCTACTAAAAAGTTAGTGTTTATGTCTTTTTTTTGTGATAAGACTCCCGGGGACTTTTCCTGAGTGAGAGAAGATTGTAGTCACTTACTTTTTTAGGCTCATGGAATATTAAAAAGTGAGGCTCATCAATGTATCAGAGCATAATAATGGTGCCCCTTTATACATAGCCCCAGCTATGACATATAATGAACTTTAAATAGTCCCTTGCAACAATGACAAAAATGGAACTAGAAATCAAGAATTCTTAGACTTATCAGAGAAAGGGGGTCACAGGGAAGACTGCAGCTCCAAATACATAGAATGAGAGCCAGTAAGAGTAGAAGCCTGTGGAACCTTAAACTGGTAGGAAGAGTTAAATGTAAACTGGTGAAATGCTAGAGGCTAAGTGTGGATGAGTTTATGACTTAAAAACTCCAGGAGGCTCAGTCTTAAATCTGCTCCATGTTTCCTGAGTTTGACTTCTGGGAGTCTCACCAGCTTACGGTGGTGAAGAATGAATGGAGAAAAATCTCCTTGAGCTTCAGGCAGAAGGAGGGGGTTGGGGATAACCATTTACAAATAAACCTAACATCCTCTCCACCACAAAAGTCTTACTCACTATGGAAAAAGTCATTACCAGAGATGTATGTAACCCAGAAGAAGAGAAATACTTAACTATAGCCCTCCTGGCCTTTCTGTCTCATAAATGGGGAGAAAGGAAGACAAAAGAGGAGATAGATCAAGGACATTAGAGAAAACTGAGATCTGTGAAACTACAGCACACGATATCCTAAACTGAGAACACTAATGCTGGTGACGATGCAGATCAATAGTAATTTCTATTCACTGCTGGTGGGAATGCAAAACAATACAGCCATTTTGGCATTTCCTTACAAAACTAAACGTAGTCTTATCATATAATCCAGCAGTTGAACTCGTAAGTATTTACCCAAGTGAGGTAAAAACTTCTGTCCACATAAAACCCTACATGTTAATGTTAGTAGCAACTTTGATCATAATTGCAAAATTTAGAAACAGCCAAAGTGAAGGGATAAACAAACTATGGGGTATTCAGACAATTGGATGATAATGAACAACAATAAGAAATTAGCTATCATGTCACCAAAAGACATGGAAGAACCTTCAATGTATATTGCTAAGTCAAAGAAGCCAGTCTGAGAAGGCTATATAACAGATTACAACTCTGTGACATTCTGGAAAAGGCAAAATTACAGAGATAGTAAAAAGATCAGTGGTTGTCAGAAGTTCAGGCGAAGGGAGGCAGGATTGATTGGTAGAGCCCAAGAGTTTGTAGGGGATTGAATCTATTCTAAATGATATGGTAATGGTGGGCCCATGACATTATGCATTTGTCAACACCCATAGAACTTTACTGAACAAACAGGAAATCTTCATGTAAACTATGGATTTTATTTAATATTAGTGTATCAATATTGGTTCATCAATTCTAACAAATGTACTGCACTAATCCAAGATGCTAATAACGAGGGAAAACTGTACAGGGGAGAAGAGCTATATCAGACCTTTCTGTATTATCTGCTCAATTTCTTTGTAAACCCAAAGCTATTCTAAAAAATAGTCTATTAACAATAATAGTTTTTTTAAAAGTCACTTATCTTTTCACAATTAATTCTGAAATCTTGTTTATAAAACAAACCCTCAAACTTGACCCAAAAGAAATAAGTGTGTGATCAGAAGGAGAAGAAAAAGTTTAACAGTCACACAGAGGGAATAAGTAACTGTTGCCTTGGGAACACTTTGTCACACAGATATGCCCATCTTGCATTTATTTTCACTGTTTTAGAGAATGACAGTGGTATGATGGCAATCCTACCCAAATTCTACTAGTCACGATAAGCATTAAAAAAAAAAAAGTCCTTATCTGGGTTTTTATTTTCCTAGCATGGGGGTACAAAGGAAGAAAGCTCAGACCAAGGACCCAATCACTCTGTAAGTTCTCTACTCATTGCTCCTAGAGAAGGATGAAAGGTTAGTTAAAGTGGCCATTTTGCCTGTTGTTTTATTTTGATCAGCAAGTGAATCCTCATTTATAAAATTTTCTAAGGCTCAATGTGTTTTTGCCTTTGGAGTTTACCAACATCACATGATTCTGAAGCATTTGTAATGTTCCTGTGGCCAATTGTCTACAAGAGAAGGATGAGAGAGATGGCCTGAGGTTAAACCTGCTCAAGTTAGCTTGTATTTGTATCCTGACTTTTTGAATAAAAGATTATTTTTGGTAAACAATAAAGTAAGTCTCACAGATCCTTATTATTATTGTTATTTTAAGATTTTATTTATTTATTTGACAGAGAGAGACATAGTGAGAGAGGGAACACAAGCAGGGGGAGTGGGAGAGGAAGAAGCAGGTTTCCTGCTGAGCAGGGATCCCGATGTGGGGCTGGATACCAGGACCCTGGGGATCATGACCTGAGCCGAAGACAGATGCTTAATGACTGAGCCACCCAGGCGCCCCCAGATCCTTATTATTAAAAAATAATAATTAAAGGTTAAATTATGCAACAAGGTTAAAAATTATCATCTCTATTAAATGTGTATGTTTAATGATTACATTTTATAATGATCAAATCCTTTTAACACACATTTTATTTAACTCAAAAAATAGAAATATATAAATGACCAACCACAGAAAACCAAGTAATATAAAATCTATATTTGACCCTCTGTTACTCCTGTTGTACCTTGATTTTGTATTGTGAGAAGCCTCATTTCTCAAAAACCACGCAACTGTTCTTTTTTACTTTTGGTAGGGCTAGATATTAGTAACTTCTATAACTAACAATTACTTTTTTTTTTAACTTCTGCTGTCTCGAACACACCAGCCACTTTCATTCAGTTAGTATACATTCACGCCAGCAGCATGCTAATCACTGAGTAAAAACCCTCTAAGTTATATACTATCAGAAAGCTACACAAGTAAATTTTAATTACAGTATAATGGGTTAAGTATTAATGAGTAGCATAGGGTTTGAAGGTCACTTAGAGGGTTGCTCAGTTCTGCAAGAGTCATAACAAACCTTTTAAAGGAAGTGTCTTCTCATTATAATCAAGAGACAAATAAGAACTAATGAGATTTGGAACTAACTGGGTTAGAGGTATTGATTAGGGCAGGGGGTGGGAGCAAGGGAAAATTTCCTCAGCAGGTGCAGAGGCCTGAAAAGAAGAAAGGTGAAGGATTCTTGGGCTCTACAAATCTTTAGGGTTTTGTTTTTCATATTCTCTTATCTAAATTACATTGGCGTCAAAGGTTAACATCACATGGAAATACCACACTATCCTGTTACGCATGTGACTGGGTGCAGAGAGCAGTGAGATTTTTTAAATAATAATTCAAAGGTGAGTGATGTCTATCTACATTCTTTCTTTAGCTGTCATCTGTTTTTGATTTTCAGATCCGCTTCAGAGTTGAAAGTAGGAGGTGTTTTCCAATTGACTTGTTAGAACACAACCAGATACTACAAAGCCTTCTTTGACATCCCTCAGGAAACTGAGCTATGTCTACTGATCCGGGGTCCTCACTGACCTCCTGGTTTTTCCCTCCTTTTCTTTTCTCCTCTCGCTCCCCCAAGAAGTTTATTCTTTTGAAGGTCAATCTCATTTTATTATTCATCAGTGAATAAATAAAGAACCTCCCCTTCCTAGCATATATTTTGCTCCAAACCCCTTCTCCCTCATTTCCTCTTCACTTCCCCTCCCTCCTTCTTCCCAACCCACTGATTGCTATTGGCAAATTTAGGAATTTGATTATGAGCCAAGAATGAAAACTAACAGCAGAGGCTTTTCACATCCCTGTATGAATGAGCATGACTCTGTGGCTAAATCCATCAGCAGGTATGTATACGTATTTCTGATCCTTGTTGCATCACAGACGCTAGAAAACCAAGCCCCACAAATTAATCTCCGCCTCCCTCTCTGGCATTGGGAATAAAAGCTCACCAGAAACATTTCAAATGCTTAAGTGGTTCTCATCTTTTTAGGCAGCCTAAAACCTGAGTGGAGATGGAAGAAAACTAAATTGGATCACCCAGTTTTTTTCCCAGGATCATCAGGACAGGTTGTATTTTTACTATTATTACTGATGTTAATATTTAGATTTTTAGATGTAGAAAATTTAGATGCAAAGTATACATCACAAAGCTGTTAGAAAAAGAAACACAGAGAGAATAAAGTCTTTATTAATACTTCAGTTACTTAATAATGTAAAACATTTCGAAGCCTTTTTAAATCACTTGTCACTAAAAATAAATCTTGCATTATATAGTGCTTTGGTGTTTAAAGAATTTTAACATAAAACTATGGTATCATAGCGACTCTGTAAGTTCTGCATGCTGGACATGTCCTCCATTTCAAGCAGGGTAGAAACAGTTAAAGTGGAGACTGACTTCTAGTGTGGTGATCAGTTCTGTGAAGTGTGACAGAAGTAGTTGAATGCCACCATGGGCCTTTATGTATATTACTGTTACTTTTAAATGAGAATATAGCATAAGTCCAAGTCCTTGGCCCATCATAGATGTAGATTATTGGCAAAATAGTAGCTATTTTATCTAGGAGTCCTTAATAGAAATGAGAGAGAGCAGAGAGATTCGATTTGGCAATTAAATTTAAGAAGTATTTTTGAACATCTGCTTTGTGACATAGTATGGAGACTGGATGTTCACTGCTTTCAACAATTTTCCCCAAATCTGAGTAAGTAGAAGACGGTGGGGACTAAGTGAGCTCTATTCATCTGCACTCACCATGTGTCTCCGACACTTAACACTGCATCTGGAAACGAGGTAGGTGCCCACACACATAGTAGCTGCTGGATGAGAGGCAGATTAGGGGATAGAGGAGGGGAAGATAGAGAAAAGGAGAAAGAAATAAAGAGGAAAAAGAAAAATTCTTTCTGAATTTTATTGAATTTATAAAGCACAGTTCTAATGATTTTTGTTGATTGGTGTTTCTAGACAACAGTAACCTTTATACTCAGAAAATAAAATTGACAATTTCTAACTGAAATACATCTTTTGAGAAAGAAGAGAGTAGCTAAAGGGTGAGTCCATACATTGTGATATGAGATAACTTACTAAGAGAAGTTAATAAGAAAAGAGATTTTATTATATGCCATTCAGCTTAACTCTGAGAAAAAAATTGACCATGAAGGGGTAAGCAGAAGCCAGCCAACTGCTGAATGATAAAATCGGCTACTCCCAGTTGACTGTAAGCCAATATTTGCAAACTTGGCAGAACACCAAGAAAGTTGTTCACATGAATAAACAAATCAATAGGCTGGGCAAGTAACATCTGTTATACACATTTCTTCTAGTGAAAGATTTCTGTTTCTGAGAGCAAGAAAGGTTTAGGGAACAAGATGATTTATTTTATTATTTTATTATATTTATTTTATTTTTATAGATTTTTAAAAATTTATTTGAGAAAGAGAGAGAGAGACCTTGAGCAGGGGGGAGGGGTAGAGGGAGAGGGAGAAGGATACTCCTCTCTGAGCAGGAAACTGGATGCAGGACTCCATCCCAGGACCCTAAGATCATGACCTAAGCCTAAGGCAGACGCTTAACCGACTGAGCCACCCAGGCTCCCAACAAGCTGATTATTAACAAGACTAATTTTTCATAAAAATCTCATAATTTTGGTGAGATGACATCTAACCTACCTGAGAGGGAGGTCTTCAAAGAGTTGAGTCTGCTACTAGGGACTGGGATTTTTTTAAGTTTTAGTAACAACATGCAGGCCTAGTGTTGTTCTGTGTTTCCAAAACACATGCTAAGGGGCGCCTGGGTGGCTCAGTGGGTTAAAGCCTCTGCCTTCAGCTCAGGTCATGATCCCAGGGTCCTGGGATCGAGCCCCGCATCGGGCTCTCTGCTCCGTGGAGAGCCTGCTTCCTCCTCTCTCTCTGCCTGCCTCTCTGCCTATTTGTGATCTCTCTCTGTCAAATAAATGAATAAAATGTTAAAAAAAAAAAAACAAAAACACATGCTAAGCCATTCTCTAGTCAAAAACAAATGAAAAACTCTCTTCCATTGTGTCTGTCTTCTGGTGTGTAATCTGAGGCCAAATGAAATAAATATATTGGGTTGTCCCAAAGAACTTAAGAGAAGCAAACAAATAGAAGTCATGTGTTGTAAAAATCATATTAGATATTTACAGATTTTACCCTCTCCAGTGAGAAAACAGGTTATTGATTATCAGTTTCTCCAGGTAATTTTGTATTTATGAAATAGAGTCTTGGGAATTTTTAAAAAGATTTTATTTATTTATTTGTCAGAGAGAGACACAGCAAGAGAGGCAATACAAGCAGGGGGTGGTGGGAGAGGGAGAGGAAGGTTTCCTGCCAAGCAGGGAGCCCCATGCAGGGCTGGAGCCCGATGAGGGTCTCAATCCTAGGACTCTGGGATCATGACCTGAGCTGAAGGCAGATGCTTAATGACTGATCATCCCAGGTGCCCTTATTCTTGGGAATTTTAACAACATATATTTCCTCTGCTTTTAGAGGAGATGTTACCATGTTATGTGTACTATTTCTAATTGAGAGTGTCCAAAGTGTCTGGCTCCTTATCATGAGCATGCTATGAAGGTGACACATTATGTCAGCTTTAGTCAGTCAAAAAACAAAGTTAGTCATAATTATAAAACAGTTTCAGGATTTCAAACTCAATGACATTTCACCATGAGATTAATGTGGCTTTTTACACAGCACATAGAGCAGAACATAAGACAAGTCACACAACAAACAAGATAACACCTGGGTGGTTCAGTTGGTTGAGTGTCCAACTCTTGATTTCAGCTCAGGTCATGATTTCAGGGTTGTGAGATTGAGTCCTGTGTCGGGCTCCTCACCGAGCATGGAGTCTACTTGGAATTTTCTCTCTCCTTCTCCCTCTGTAGTCCCCTACCCCAGTCGTTGTTTCTCTCTTTCTCTCTCTCTCTCTTAAAAAGAATAAAAACAAAAACAAACAAACAACAACAACAGAAGGGTGTAGGAAGTTAATGAACCAACCTGAAGTCAGTTTGTGGATGCGCAGTTGAGTTAAGGCCTGGTCCAGTCTCGGTCAGTTCTCTGCACTTACTACTTATCATATTCAAACAATGGAGGGTCTTGGTTCTATTCAGAGAGCCAGTGGGCAGAACCTTGGGTGGTGGCTGCCTTTTTAAAGTGGTCAGACATAGAGAGATCACCTCTGAAGATTCTGACAGTTTGACGCCAAAATTTTCCCCTTTTTAAAGAGGTATAATTGGTTTGGGGGCCCAGAAGACCTCTTCTGGTTCTGCTTGTTATCATTTGTGGGATGTCAACCAATGCTGGTCCTGGCATATCTCCAAGATGCAGTACTTAACTGCTTGCATCATTGCTTGACACAGCCCCCTGCTTGACATGAGAGACTCCATCTTGCTCTCTACACTCCTCCATAGTACCATATGGATTTGGTATAATAACAATATAAGCTCATAGTTATTAAGAATTTATAATGGGAATTTATAATTTCCATTCAGTGTTTCTGGTATTATCATTATTATCATCCTTAATTTGTAGATGAGAAAATGGAGCATAGCTGACCTGAAGTAATTTGCCAAGATCATACAATTTCAAATAGCAGAACTAGGATTTAAACATGGTGGTATACTTTAGGACCCACACTCTGAATAACTATATTATAGAATAACTATATTATAGAATAACTATATTATAGAATAACTATATTCTATTCTCTGTTGTGTACACATTAATCCTCTAAACTAATATGATTATATACACTTTTAACATATATATGTTTCTCATTGTATGGGCACATTTAAATATTTAAGGAACCATACCAACCATAAGGCAAAAATTTGACACATTGATTATGTGAACAATAAACTTCTATGCAACTGTATCAAAAGAGTTTGTTAAGATAGTTTAGGGGAGATTGGGTGGCTCAGTTGGTTAATTGTCTGCTGTTGGCTCAGGTCATGATCCCAGGGACCTGGGGTCCAGCTGAGTATCAGGTTCCCTGCTCTCTTCTCCCTTGCCCATTTCCCCTACTTGTGAGTACTCTCACTCTCTGTCAAACACATAAACAAAATCTTAAAATAAAAAAGACAGTTTAAAGATTACTGACATATAAAACAGAAAAAGCACATATATCTTCAGTATAAAATCAACAATAAATTACTAGCTATAAATCAGTGAGGAAAAAGCAACACTCTTGATGGATAAAATAATAATAATAATAAATTTAATAATTAATTAAATTAAACAATTTAATCTATTTTATTTAAATTAAAAATTAAATAAATTTAAATTAAATAAATTAAAATACATAAAATAAAATAAAAAATAATAAAGTTATCAATTTAATAAAATTAAAATAATTAAAATAACCAATTAACTTATAAAAGATGAAACATGAAAAATTATAAACTATCCCTGAAACACAATTTTAAAAACATATTTTCAATTATGAAAGATTACAACAAATAATTTCTAATACTGGTGAGGATATGAGAATATAGGCAATTGCATAGAGTGTGTAAATTGGTATAATTTTAGCAATTAAAAACATTTAATGATATTTTATATGTGCATACCTTTTATTTTTGCAATTCCATTGTCACTGCAGAGGTAAGTGTGAAAGTACATATGCTTAAAGACATTAATTATGGTGCTACTTATATCTAAAAAATGGGGAACAACAGAAATTTCCTTCAGTAAAGAATTGTGTTATCTATGTTACACCCATACTATGGACTGCCATGTGTCATTTATAAGAATAAAAACAGAATTTATGGATTAATAGAAAATTTTGTTCACACTATATAGTGAAAAAATAGAGTGCAAAAAGAATGTAAACTATAATACAAATTAAATTAGATATGTAAGTATATAGGCTTTATATACATTTAAATATTTGGAAGCATAAATATAGTGCTATTAGGAGTGATTATCTCTTCAGAGTATAATAAAGAGGGCATTTTCATTGTCTCTATATTGTTTAATTTGTTTTCACCAATCATGTGTCAAAAATAAGAATATTTATATATGCACATTTACATGTATGCATAACTGTGTGCATATTTGTTCTCCCTTCAGTAAGACAAAAACAGTTTCTGTCTTCAAGGTCTGTTACAGGACAAACTTAATAGATAATGATGTTTGCTTTTTCATATAATTTTATGACCTATAAATAAGATTTTAAAATAAGACTTTTCAAATCTGGCACAAAGTTAAATGTCTAGTAAAGAATATCCATTCCTTTTCTTCTGGTGATTATAGAAAGAAGAGATTTGTACTTTTTATAGAAAGGCCAGCTGAAAGGCTACTCTCATATTCAGTCAACATTTGGGAGAGGTTCTGAACAAGGGCAGTGATCATGAAGATAGGAATATGATTGATATGCGAGGGATTGAGTCTGTGGGACTTAGTGCCTGGTGCTGGTGATGGGGAGTTAGGAGGCAACATCTGAAAGTCTCCAGCTATAATGTGCAGCCTAGAAATATAGTGGGGAAAACATGACGGGGAAAAAAAACCTTCAGAATAAGTCAATGGTCTAACCATTTGGTTTAATTTGTAGGATTTATCATCCTAAAATTTTACACCAGTTATTTCTTATGTTGGGATAATCGATCTGTCACAGTAATTGAAATTTCATTTTCTTTTTATAATGCATCTCTCATGAACTGGGATTCTCTGTATTAAAGGAAGCACATTAAGTGACTAAAAGAACTACTACTACTTCCAGAAGGCTCTTATTACGCTACAGGCTCTCTGAAAAAGACAATAAAAGTCATAGTTGTTACAAATGGATAAGCCTATAACTTACCAGGTGGCTTTTGGGCAAGGGTGATATTTGTGAAAGGGAGGTACATGAAAACAACCTCTAAAGTCCAAAGGAACCATAAAACCAAAGAAAAAGACCAGCTCCAGCTTAACAAGAAATGGTTTTATTAAGCGGGCTTATGGACTGAAGTGTGTCTTGGGTCATGAAAGATGAGTAGATCTCTGCAACCCCACCTCCTTTAAGACTTGCTTTTGTAGACCTAGAGGCTGGGAGTACTGCTAGGGGACCACCCAAGAGGAGAATGTTTAAGAATGTGTGTGTCCAAGGAGAAACCTCTTTGACTTCAACCATAGCAACTTCTTACTAGACACATCACCACAGGCAAGGGAAACAAAGCAAAAATGAGCCCTTGGGACTTCATTAGGATAAAATCTTCTGCACAGCAAGGAAAATAATCAACTAAAGTAAAAGGCAGCCTACAGAATGGGCTGATAAATGACATATCTGATAAGGGTTAGTATTCAAAATTCACAAAGAACTTATCAAACTTAACAACCCCCAAAACAGGTAACCCAGTTAAGAAAGAAGCAGAAGACACTTTTCTAAAAAAAGACATCCTCATGGCTAATAGACACATGAACAGATGTTCAAGATCTCTCAGGGAAATACAAATCAAAACCATGATGAAGGATGCCTGGGTGGCTTGGTTGGTTAAGTGTCTGTTTTGGTTGAGGTAATGATCCCAGGGTCCTGGGATGGAGCCCTGGATTGGGGGCAGTGAGGATTCTCTACTCAGTGGGGAGTCTGCTTCTCCCTCTGCCTGCCACTCCCCCTGCTTGTGCTTGGTATCTCTCCTCTCTCTCTCTCTGACAAATTAATAAAATTAAAAAAAAAAAATAGACATGGTGAGATACCATTTACACCTGTCAGATGGCTAAAATTAACAGCATAAGAAACAACAGTTGTTGGCAAGGATTCAGAGAAAGGCTAATCATCTTACATCATTGGTGGGAATGCAAACTTGTGCAGCCACTCTGGAGAATAGATGGTGGTTCCTCAAAATGTTAAAAATAGAACTACACTATGATCCAGTAATTGCACTACTAGGTGCCTATCCAAAGGATACAAAAATACAGATTGGAAGGAATACACGCTCTTGTTGTTTATACCAGCATTATCAACAAAGTCAAACTATGGAGAGAGCCCAAATGTCCAATGTCCATGGAAAGATGGATGGATAAAGAAGATGTGATATATCTATATCTATATCTATATCTATATCTATCTATCTATCATCTATCTATCTATCTATATATCTCGGTATCAAAAAGAATGAAATCTTGCCATTTGCAACAATATGGATGGAGCTAAAGAGTATAATATTAAGTGAAATAAGTCAGAGGAAGATAAATATCATATGATCTCACTCACATGTGGAATTTAAGAAAGAAAACTGATGAACATATGGGACGGGGGAAAAGAAAAAAAGGAGAGAAAGAAATAAGTCATAAGAGACTTTTAACAATAAAGAGGAAAATGAGGGTTGATGGATGGGCTAGATAGGTGATAGGTATTAGGGGGGCACCTGTTATGAACAGCCCTGGGTGTTGTGCATAAGTAATGAATCACTGAGCTCTACTCCAGAAACAAATATTGCACTATATGTTAACAACCTAAAACTTAAATTAAGAAAAAAAATTTTTTTTAAAGAATAAGTGTGTGTCATAGTCTTATCTCCAGAGCAGACCAAAGACATTTTGCCTTGAGGGTGTACTTAAGGGTGTGGTTAAACAAAGGGAAAGAATGTAGGGAGGTGATGTGCTCAAGAAGGCTTCACATCACAGAGCAGTCATCATGGCACATGTTCACTAATCTGGTTCACACAGATGAATAAAAAGGAGATCTAAAGAGGCTAATATCAAAGGACTAAATTTGTTGAGATGTTATATCACAAACTCAGAATGGAAAAGGAAAGATAGTGGAAGAAGTTGAAAGTCAATGAAGGAAAGTTTGCTTAATTAAAAATCCTATGACCAATGCTGAACATGAAATGAGTTGTCATGGGATCAGGAAATGATTTATCAGTTATAACCATCTTGTTTAACCTTATATGTTTCAGACAAGTCATTCAATGGGAATATGTACTGCTTTATTGATCAAATGAGAAAGAAAGGTGAAGGTAATGTGAGAGGCCCCAGAGGAATCTATTATATCCTCAAGAACCCATGTTTTAGATATATCCATTACAGTGTCATTAATTTCATCTTTTAAATACACTTATCAAGCATTTGAATTTTTTCATTAAATGAAACATTCAAGAACTAAGGAAGCTATGACTTTGAGATCGGGCAGTGGCTATCAAATGTGACCATCCATCTTTTCATGTTATTTGATGTATACATGATTAATCACCATGATTATTTGCCAGAATACTGTTGTATTTTTTAAATCTCTTAGTCTTTTCATATACTCCATCAATTTTGACAAGGAAATGGAAGACTCTGTTTTTATTCATCATGGAATTTGCTATGCATAAATATAATACAAATTTTTAAAAAGATTTTATTTATTTATTAGAGAGAGAGAGAGAGCATGAGTAGGGGGAGGGATAAAGGGAGAGGGAGAAGCAGGCTCTCTGCTGAGCAGGCAGCCTCATACAGGCTGGATCCCAGGACCCAAGGATCATGACCTGAGTGGAAGGCAGACACTTAACAGAATGAACTACCCAGGTGCCCCTAGTGGTGTTTTTTTAGGTCCATGGAAGAGAGTACAATACAATTGTTAAAAATCTTAGAGATTATCCATGGGTGCCTGGGTGGCTCAGATTTTAAAATCCTTTAAAAAAATTAACATAATACAAGCACTTCACATTATTTTTTACATAGGTTTATTTGGGGGCGGGGGGTGGATTTATTTATTTATTTTAGAGAGAGAAAAGAGAGAGAGAGACCAGGGAGGAGAAGGGTAGAGGGAGAGAGAATCCCAAGCAGACTCTGTATTTCATGCAGAGCACAATATGGGGCTTGTTCCAATGATCCTAATATCATAACCTGAACTGAAACCAAAAGTCAGACACTTAACAGACTGAGCCACCCAGGTGCCCCTATTTTTTATGTTGTTTTAAACATTTTATAGTGCCTTGTATTTTCTTACTCTTTTATATTGTTAGACTTACCTTCTGAATGGGATTAGAGATTCTTAAAGCACCAAGACTATGTTATATACTTCTTAAACATGCCTTTACTCTATATACTCAATAGCTAAGAAATGTTAGAAACCCAAGAGAACCTCAATGTACAGAGCTATTATTAATTTTAAAACATTTTAAAGTACATATAAGTGGAAAATATACATTTTTCTTTCAGGGCACGACCCTTAGGATGGATTCTTCCAAATCTGACTATGATGCATACTTTGGCAAAGTCCACGGAATTCTAATGTATAAAGACTTTATAGAATATTGGGATGATGTGGATACATTCCAGGCAAGACCAGATGACATTGTCATTGCCACGTATCCCAAATCTGGTAAGTTTCTTATTACCTCAGTTCTGTTCTCTTTTCATCTAGAAATGACAAACCCACCTTGAATGGTGAATATTAAGCTGTTCGCTTCTTCCACACTGATTCTTCATATTAAAGACAGACATGGTAGTTCTGGTACAGACACAGAAAAAGTGGATATTATAGCTCTGTTCTAAGAGCACGTTCCGTACCTGTGACTTGAGCAGCACAGATTCCATGTACCTTTAGAAAATTATTAATATAAATGCATGAATATAGAACCATATAGTCATTTTGTATAAACAAAGTACAATTTTTTCCAGACTTTTAAAAAATTATTTTTTCAGCTAACTAGCTGTCCTTAAGTTTGCCCCCAAACTCCTTTTTTAAGTAACATATTTTTTTTCCTGAGATTAGCTCAACTTAATTATAGTTCTGGAATCTCACAACCATAGATCTTTAGAAATTAGATCTGATCGAGACTTCTCTATTTGGTTGTTACATTTGACACTTATATATGTGTTAAATATATTGTTATCTTACTGAAGGAATTCTTCCAAAACAGAGTCCTCATAATCTTGCTCTCTTGCTTAATGTATATCATTGCCTTTCCAGAACTTCTAAAAAATTCAAACACTAATATGAACTTCAAGGCATTTTATGCTTGCCATCTGCTTGCTTCTGCAGCCTCCTTCCCACCCATTTCTTCTTCCATTTAGGCTTTATAATGTATTTCCAATTCTTTTCCTCATTACTATACTATTCTTAAGTATCTGATCTTGGTGGGGGGTGGGAGGGAGATGGTTCTGCCTGCTAGAATCCTTTTCTCACAAAACTGGTGAACTAATGCCAATAATGTGTTAAGTCTAAGTTCAATTCTCATGTTGTCTTGAAGGCATTTCTTGTTGATACGTCACAGCAGCAGAAGCACACTGAGTTAAATACTCTTCCTTTGTAGTCCTTGAAATTCCTGTGCCCACATGTATTATAGCATCTTAAGGAAAAAAGAAGTTTTGTAATTATTATGCACTGTTTCCAACTCTTAAACATGACTTTGAGCACTAGGAGGCAAGGATCAAGTCTATTTTTTTCTGTTTCCTCTGTACTGGGGCTCAGCTTGAGGCATCAGAAGTTAACAGTAAAATCTGTGGTTGAAGCATGCTTGAGTGCATCATCTATTATTCAAGTCTCTTTACTTTTTTTCTTTTTTTCAAAATTAACAATTTTATTTTCATGCAGTATTTGTAGATATCTAATAGACCAAAAAGATAGTTCAAATCCTGTGCTCAAAATACATGTCTTTGGAGTATAAGTCTCCATAACACATGAAACACTAGTATAGTGACTACATCTTGCTTAACTGTGTATTCCTGACATTTAACATAATGACCAGCGTATTCTCGATATACTTGTGTTGAAAGAATGAATGAATGACACCTTCCTATGCACATTATCTCCCCCGAAGTACAAACCCTCTATTCTCATTGACCTGCCTCTTCACCATTTCTTTGCATGTTTTTCCCATTTCTGTTTTTTCAGTTGTTCATTCAGCAAATTTTTATTGAGTTTCTGCTATGTGTCAAGGGTGGTATTAGCCACTGGAGATACAATGGTGAACGAAACACATTTAATCTCTGCTTTCTCAGTGTGTATAATCCAGAGGGGAATATAAATAAATAACCCAGAGGGTAATATAAATAAATAAAGTGGCAGATATGATATAGTATGAAAATGTGGGTGAAGGAGGTCCATTAGGGTATTGTGAGAACATATAGCAGGAGTACTTTGCTTGGGGCACTTCAGAGGCTTCTTAGGGTAAACAAAGCAAAGATGTGAGAGATTTAGCTCCTAGAAGATTGTTCCAGGCTACAGGAATAGCACGTACATGATGTGGGAGCCTCTGAGGACATGCTTGCTCTCTGGATTCTCCAACTTGTTCAGTTCTTCTTTCTTGCCCATCTGTGTTTAGTCCATTCTTCAAGACTTACCTGAAAGCTTTCCTCCTCCCTACTTGAATACTCATCTTTTCTTTCTTTAAATTAAACTCAGGATTCAATTGTGCATTATTTTCACTTGTACGACTTTAGTCAGCTTAAATATATTTATTGTTGATGTGTCCTAGATGCCAGGAACTGTATCTTATTCCTCTTTGTTTTTCTTGATAATGTCTAATTAAATGCAATGCTTTCTATGTAGTAAGAATTCAATAATTCAAGCCTCCTAACTTTTTAGATGTAAAAATTTAAATCCCAAACTGTTACCAGCTTGCACAATGTCCCAATTCACTGTGGACAAATTTGGACTCCTACCATAGGCGTGTCTTACTACAATATTCATCTTCATTTATTGAGGTTATTTTGAGGTCTTGTAAGATTAAGTATGAGAAGAAATTTCTTGAGTTCTAAAGTTATTCTGACATCTTTCAAATTATATTGCATTAGGACACTTCTGCTTAATCCAGCTATAAATACACTACTTGCATTGTCAACCTGAATGGTCGGTGAAACACTGAGATTTGTCTAATTTTTACAGGTACAACCTGGGTTAGTGAAATTGTGGACATGATCTACAAAGAGGGCAATGTGGAAAAATGCAAAGAAGATGTCATTTTTAATCGAATACCCTATTTGGAATGCAGAAAAGAAGAGTTAATGAATGGTAATGCTTAAGTAGATTTTTTAAGTTTAGATTTTAAAAACTATGTACATATATTCTAAAGTGTGGATATAGACAGTGCAAGGAAAGAGACTGTAAACAAAAGTGGCAATTAGTATTATGTCTTCTCCATGAAAAGCATGTAAATTTAAATTTAAATCTTGACAGAGTTTACATTGTAACATTAGACTGAAATAGATTGAATAAGGATAGCTCTTATATGTCTTCATATGAGAGCCTAGTAATATTTAAGCATTTGTCCCTATATGGGCTGAATGTGATAATACATTAAAAACTAGAAAAATATCCATAAATTTTCAAGAATATATCTAAAAGGATATTCATCACAGATTCTTTTAATATTGTGAAAAATTAGAAACAATGTGTTGATCAATAAAAGAATAAAGTGACATAATAACTCTATGATATAATTAAAAATTTTAGGATGTCTTATGTTTCTTCACATTGCAGTTTCAGTATAATATATTGAGGAAAAAAATTAACTAGGAGGTATTAAAAATTCTATCTGCATGTATGTATTTAGATGGCTCTGAGTCTAATCATATGGATCCACAGTTGACCCCTGAACAATTGTGGGGTTAAGGATGATCACCCCTCACACAATAAAAAATCTGCATATAACTTCTGACTACACCCAAATTTAACTACTAATAGCGTACTATTATATTGGAAGCATTACCAATAACATAAACAGTTGTTAACACATATTTTGTATGTTATATATGTATTACATACTATACTCTTACAATAAAGTAAGCTGGAGGAAAGCCAATGTTATTAAGAAAATTATAAGAGGGGCCTGGGTGGCTCAGTTGGTTAAATGTCTGCTTCAGCTCAGAGTCCTGGGAATGAGCCCCAAGGCAGTCTCCCTGCTCAGTGGGGAGTCTGCTTCTCCCTCTCCCTCTGTCTGCGGCTCCTCCTGTTTGTGCTATTTCTCGCAAATAAAATAAGTAAAATCTTTTTAAAATAAGAGAAATTATATATATAGTACTATAAAATTTATATAAATATATATTTATTTGCATAAATATTATATATATATAATTTCTCTTATTTTTAAAAAGATTTTACTTATTTTATTTGCATAAATATTTATTTGCATAAATATATATTTATATAAAATGTATAAATATAAATTTTATATTTATAGCACTGTAAAAAATCCATATATAAGTGGACCTGTGCAGTTCAAGTACATGTTCAACGCAGAATGTTGATAATGATTGTGTTAATATCTTACTCAAGTGTTAATAAAGATTTTTCCCAAATGGTGAAATTTTACTTTATCTTATTTTTTCTTTATAATTTCCACTACCTAAACTTCTGTCATGGTATGTACTATTATTATGAATATACTTAGAATCTGAAGGTTACTTTTATTTTTTAAATGTCTATAAAATTCATATAAGTATTTCTAATTTTTTAAAGTTATATAACCTTTAACTTTTTAAAAATCAGGAGTAAAACAATTAAAACAGATGGCATCTCCTAGAATAGTGAAGACTCATCTGCCAGCTGAACTTCTTCCAGCCTCATTTTGGGAAAAGAACTGTAAGGTAAGCAGAATCAAATATTCTTAAAACTTTACATTTGTTTATTTGTTCTTTTTTGGAATCTATGGACATTTAATAAATTAAATGTGTATTAAGGTCAATATAGTCAGAGTCTAGCTTTCAACTCCAACTTTCGAGGTGATTTGGAAAAAAACAAGTAAACTCCAAGCCACAGCTTCCTTATCTGTAAGAGAAGGATAAAAATACAATCTTCCTCATGGAGTTGTTATAAGGATTAAATAAAAATAATGCTTGTTATATGTTTAACACAGTATCTAGTATATTGTAAACATTTACTAAATGGTAACTACTTTTGTATTTGTTGCTATTTTTTTTTTAAGATTTTATTTACTAATTTGAGAGGGAGAGTGCGAGCGCCCACAAGCAGTGGGAGGGGCAGAGGGAGAAGCAGACTAGCTGGGAGCCCTATGCGGGGCTTGATCCTAGCACCCTGAGATCAGGACCTGAGCTAAATGCAGACACTTAACTGGCTGAGCCACCCAGGCGTCCCTATGTTTGTCATTATTACCAATGACGCTGAATGTATTCCTTTTTGCAAACTATTGTGCTTGGCGCCATGAGGTGTGGAAGTGAACTAGACAAAGATAAACCAGACAATATCATATAGTAATTATTTACTGAGTGCCTATCATGTGCCAACAATATAAAGATTAATAAGACCCATGCAATCCTTGTCTCCACGATCACATGGTCCAGTGTGGGACAGGGCAAATAAGCAGACAATGAAGAAAGTGCCATAAGTCAAGTAAGAGAAGAATTCTAACTCAGACAATGAGGGTGGGGGAGGTAACTAAGAGCAAGTAACATCTCAGATGATGTTTAAAAGATGTGTAAGAGTTAGTCTGTACAATCCCAGAGGCAACCCCAGTGGGGATGTGAAACAAGTTCAGTTTAGCTGCAAGTTTGAGTGTACACAATAGCTGAATAAATGAAGGGAGGTAAGCTAGGGTTTGATCACAACAGACATTGAAGCTAAGTTGAAAAGTCTGGACTTTATTTAATGGTAACGAGTTACAGACATTTTAAATTGATGATTGACATGATCAGTTTTGCTTTTCACAAAGAATGATACATGAAACCCTAAAACATTAAGTCTTGGATCATTCATGCTATTTCTCAAGAACTTTTAAGCTTTTTCTTAGGATACACTATGACCCATGTATGCTACTCATATGCGATATTAAAGTACTATATGTAGTCTTAATAACAAAATAGGGGTTTATCATTGTCATGAAACATTTTTATTTTGTACTCTAATGTTACCTGGTGTATTTGATATTTTTCTGGAGATCCATGGTCTAAAATTCTGAAGATTCTATTTTTTGTTTGTTTTTTATAACTTTTATCAAAAGCAATACTAGGTAGAACAATACATCCTGCTGAAATCATTCCATACATAAATATTCTCTCATTAGCTAATGCTATTTATATATTTGGCAGGAGATGTGTAATCACCACTTTTTCAAGAGATTTGACCAAGTCACTTTTTTCCTTTGGAGAATGGGTTGTATCCCCTTCACTTCTCAAATGAAAACAGAAACATTTACAATAGTCTTAGTCTTCACTAAACTGTTCAGCCTTCACAAAACTGCTTATCTTAGGGATTCATCAAACAGTTAGATGGATTCACTTCCTGAGTATTTCTGGGATAATTCACTGGGGGACAGAAAGATATATGGATTGAAAGTACTAGTAAAAATGTATTTGGAGTGGTGAGCCAGAAGCTGTAAGTGATTTTTAAAAAGTGGGGGGAAAGGGATCAAACAAATAAGAGAAACAATTGAGGCCAATAAATGTGAGGCTTTGGAATTGTTGCAGGACAAGTATATTGGGAATAACTGATAAGGAAGACGGGAAGAGTAAGACTGTCTTGAAAGAAAACACGATGCTCTCGAATAAGGCTTCCGAAGTGAAACCTTTAGAGTGCTAACAAGATTCATGATTTGGACATAAAAGTGGTTGGCTGAAATAAAAGCAACAATGAATGAATACAAGAAGCTAGAGAATCAAATGGTTCATGCATACAGATACTAAAATTATGCTGGATGAAGACAAGATTAGGAACGGAGAATAATACTATGAGGCCGATGTTCACATTTTCAGTTAAAGGCAGGGAATGACCACAAGCATAGAAGGGCTTTAGCTTTCTAGAGGTATGAACCGAGAATCACAGGAACAGGGGTTTTTCAAGTGTAGGATTTTTAAAATGGATTATGATCCCAAGGGAATTGTATGTCAACTAGAAATTTTGACTTGAGAGAGCTGCAGTACTAGCTTTTCCTTGAAGGCAGGAAGAGCATGTGGGGTAAAATGTTTGAGGTATAGAGTAATATCTGCTAAAATGGAGATAAAATAAACTAATGGGAGTTTAGGGGAAGAAGGATGGCTTTTGTTCACACCTTATCCCCATCTGGGGAAATAAAAAGTTTCATGGAGACCTGGAGCCAAACTTTAAATATGGACAGCATTTTGAGATGTAGAGAATATTCAAGACAGAGGGAACAGCCTGAAGAAATGCAAGGGATGACAATTCTGAAGGGAATTCATGGATATAGTGGCAAAGAGTTCCATTCAGCTAATAGGCAAAAAGAAGTAGGAAGAGTATTTAGTTAGGTTGAAAAAGTTCAATATAGTTAATGATAGCTTTGATAAGAAAAGAAAACTCACTTTTTGGGGGGGGGCAGTAATTGGAAGTTTTTCTAGCAGGACCTTCAGAATGAGAACTATATATTTTTTAGAGATTTTATTTATTTATTTAAGAGAAAGTGATAGTGAAGAACCATCTTTCTCAAAGTAAACTAGATTTCTTTAAAATAGTTTGAAAGTGTAGAAACCTGCGAAGTTAAGACAGGCTTCTGAGCCAAATGAAAACCAGTAAACAGTGTAGAGTCGTGAGTAGCCTTCCCTAACAGCATTACTCAGATGGCCAAGGGAGAGAGTGGAGACCACAGGATACTGGAGTTTACTTCTGCAGACTGACTAAAGATCCCAACTCACTTGTTTATTGGAGAGAAAATTGGATTTCTATTGGATGGAAAATTTCTATTGGATAGAAAATTTAGAACCAAAATTGGTGCTTTGCACAAGATGATAGAACTTTTTAGTGCCAGGCTGACAATGAAAACTAGGCTTCCTGATTGCTATGTCTGATTGGTGCTTCTTCTATATGTAATATGGAAACTCAAAAATATTGGTGAACATTATATTTTTACTAAGATAAGTGTGAAGTTAAGTAAACCCTTAGTAAACAAGTTTTCTCTCTAAGATTGAATGAAATTTGTGACATTAAAATAAGTTATTATATGTGAAAATGGCATGAAAAATGTAAGGTGAGAACTAGCCCTAAACAACTGTATACAAGATGCTACCATTTCAGGTTACTGAAGAATTTTTCTTCTATATAATTTCATATATTTTATCCACTTTCTACAATGAATGTGTATTATATTTGTAGTTGAAAACATAAATGTTTTCTTTTTACATCTTGATGAGACCATGTTTGAAAAAAATTAAAATGATTTCATATATAATTTCACCTTTTTAGATGATCTATCTTTGCCGGAATGCCAAAGATGTGGCTGTTTCTTATTATTATTTCTTTCGAATGGTAGCTGCTCATCCAGATCCTGGATCTTTCCAAGAGTTTGTGGAAAAATTTATGGAAGGACAAGGTAAGAGGAGCTTCTTTACTCTCAACTCCTTAAAGGTAAATAATACAAGACAAATGACATCTCTGAGCAAAAATTTTTGTTGTCTTGTTATGGTCTGTTATCTTCTCTGATCCTTAAATAAAACACAGAAATTCCAGAAGATTCTGAACTCTGAAGCAAGCATAGGGTTTCCAGATGTGGGTGGCAAATTGCAGAATTTGGACATTCCAGTTCAGTGCCTAAAAATAAATATATAAAAGTGTGTTTAGAGGTTGGCTGTAACAGATTTTCTGCTCTATGACTGAGATTCAGTGTCCAGTTTTCTCTCATTTCTTTTTATTAGAAAAGTATTTCACAGTGTTAAAATTCTACTGAATAAAGGGCAAGGAAATAGAGAAGAGAGAATGCTCATTTGTTTCCAAGGAAAATTTCAAGTGTTTTGCGGGGTCAGAATTCATAAAGAAGTCTGAATATCTACAAAGTTCTTATTCTTTCCACCAGGGTACAGTCTGAATGTTTCAGCTAGATTTCTCGGAACCACACAAGGGTTACTTGAGCTGAAATTCTGGGAAATTTTACCTTTTTCTTTAACTTCACACTACACCAACTATCTAAAGTTGTAGAAGAAAGAGTTCAGCAGAGTCCAGTATTATCTAAAGAAGGCCATCCTTATCCTGTAATAATAACTGCAATAATAATAATAAAATATCATCTTTATATTCATAGAAGATAGTATTGGCTTAATAAAACTAGAACACATATATTTTATGTTTGTTACATTTTGGGAAAAAATTATGCAAAAGCGTCATGAATTAAACAAATGCCACAAGATCGTCAAAATCCCCATTGTAAGGCGGAGAAAGACAGTATTACTCTTCTGCAAAACGGATGAATAAGGCCCTATAAATATCATTGTGTGACTTTTTCTTTTAGGAGCAATTGTAAATAGAGTCAAAGAACAGAAATGGTAGTCAATGACAATGCAAAGCAGAATACTTTGAATCAGACAACATTATATTATTCTGTCAGCTTTTTATTGGGTAAAACATTGAGATAAGCATGAGACACGATAAGGGAAGAGAGAGTTAGACAGAGACAGCATTTCAGCATGTCATATCATACCATCTTGAAAATCTTCTAACTTTTTTGAAATGAGAATAGCACTAAGGCTCCCTAACAAATCACCTCTGCTATATAAACTGCAAGTAGTGTAATAAGAAATTATATAATTACTGGCTTTAGTTGCCAAAGACAGTTTGTAAATGGTAAATTTGAGACTAGACTGAATTCAGATTATAAGATCATTAATAGTTCCCACTCTACTCTCCTCACTGACAGCTTGATTTTACACACACATACACACACACCCCTCAAAAATCCTCATAAGCTCTGAATCAAGTTAGTGGAAGGGGAATTTCCTTTACTTTTTCTGTGTCATTAACCATTCATAATGATGAAAGTTTAGAATATGTTTCTGTACACAAATTACTCAACATACTTTGCCTCTCTTGCTGCAGAGAAATTTGCTTAAGATGTGTGACAATGGGGCACCTGAGTGGCTCAATTGATGAAGCATCTGTCTTCAGCTCAGGTCATGATCTCAGGGTCCTAAAGACCCAGTCCTGCATCATCTCCCTGCTCAGTGGGGAGCCTGCTTCTCCCTGTCCCTCAGGCTCTCCTCCCGCTGGTGCTCTCTCTTTCTCTCTCTATGGTACTCAACTCTCCCTCTCTCTCTCAAATAAATAAATAAAATCTTTAAAAAAAAAGATGTGTGACTGATCTCTTGTTTTCATTCCATGATAATTCACTTATATTTATTTGTTGCTACTGTTGTTTGAATACTCATTTTCAAGCTGTATAAAGATTATACTATGCTCTTACATTGTTTTTATCTCTAACTTTAGTGCCATATGGTTCCTGGTATAAACATGCAAAATCTTGGTGGGAAAAGAGAAATAATCCACAAGTGCTATTCCTTTTCTATGAAGACATGAAGGAGGTGAGAAATTGAAAACATATGGGATATTGTACACCTGAGACTAATACAACACTTTATGTTATTAAAATAAATACTTTAGAAAAAGAAAACATATGGGCAACTTAGTAATTTCTAAAATATTAGCATTTGACAACAATGTAGTTACAAAAATCTGCCTTTAAATAGATGATGCAGCTACCTCCCAAAATCACAATAATCCAGATACTTTAGCATAGATTTGAAGCTAATAAATAGAACTCTTCTGTGAATATGTCGAAACCCAAATCTCAAAAAATTACCAAATACAAAATTTGAAAGAACTTGAGTTCATAAAATAAAGAAAAACAGACAAGTGAATAAAATTATGAGAATAAAGATTTTTATATGGGAATTTACAGGAGAGAAAATAGGGTCATCTCACTCAAACTGAAGTAGTCAAGGAAATTATGCCAAAGAAGGTGATACTTAAGCGGAAGTTTGATAGGCAAGTTGTAATTTGCAGGACAGAGAATTTGAGAATAACATTCTTTGTAAAGAGAACTATATGACAAAATAAGCATTATAGTATTGTGAATATTTGTATGAGTGGTTTATCTGGATAATAGGGTACACTACAGAAATGACGTGTAGGGCTGGGGATGCTTGAGCTATGGTTCATATACATCTGATGTTCCATGTTGGATATTTGAGTTTTTATACCTTTTCTTAATCTTTTTGGTTACTTTGTTTCTTGGTATGTACATCAATAAATTAGAAGAGAAAAGTAAAACTATGTACATATTTTCAACCCCCAAACTTAATCTTTCACGGAGGACTCTAGTCTTTGAGAGTGTCTATTCATACTCGTAGATAATAGTTATTGAGCATGTACTAAGCATCAAAGTCTACAACAAATATTTTATAAACATCATCTCATTTAGTATTATAACAATCTTTGAAGCAACTTTTATGTCCATTTTATGGATAAGGACAATTATGCTTAGAGAAGTTAAAAAAATACTTCTCCAGGAAGTATTTTTCTTCATTAAAAGTCTAATTCCAATACCAGTGGGGACAAAAGGGAAAGAATTTCTCTCTCTCTCTCTCTCTTAATCTAAATAGTAATGAATTTAACTTTAGTAATTGAGTCCTCAAAATATTTTCTCTTCCTAGGATATCAGAAAGGAGGTGATAAAAGTGATACAATTTCTGGGAAGACAGCCGTCAGAGGAGCTTGTGGACAAGATTGTACAACACACTTCATTCCAGGAGATGAAGAACAATCCATCTACCAATTATACAACACTACCAGATGAAGTCATGAACCAAAAAATTTCTCCCTTCATGAGAAAGGGTGAGAGAATCATGTAATTTGCCTCGATTGCTCTACAAAGTGGCAAGTTGAATGAGTTATAGGCAAATACCTATTGAAGTCTATTCTTGCCTGTGGACCCAGCTTGTTTTCTTCAAAGCTGTTTCACATTTGAGCAATACTTTTTCTGAGTTACCAGTTCTGTAGTGAGATTAAAATAGTAGTGTTACTACTACTACTACTACTACTACTACTGCTGCTGCTGCTAAATTGCTATTATTTGCTGATAACTTAGTATATGGAGCATACTAAGAATTGTCAACAGCCACCCAAGCCTCACTATCAGCACTAACAGCACACACTACTGTCATTTATAAAGCCTGTGTGCCTTGGTGTTATACCATGTATGTTATATATAATTTTAAAATTCGTATTCTCTTCAAATTCAAGTAAGAAACTCAAAAGAAAACTTCTATAATTATCTCACCTTGAGATGAGGATAAAAGTCTAGAACAATTATCTTTTCCTTGACCAAGCAGCAAACAGTTTTCAAAACTAAGTGCCAAATACCCAAACTCACCAAGCTATACAAATATGTACGGTTCTTTGTAGATCAGTTAACCTCATTAAAGCTGTTTGAAAAGATTAAGTTTCAAAGCACTTACTGCCAAATATAGCCTTGTTTGGCAAAATATCAAAATACAATGAGGTGACATTTTATTGGGAAGAGGAATGATCTGAGGAGCTGTGATCATTTTATAAATCCAAAGGCATGTAGAATATGTAGACTATTGGGACATCAGTCTACTAATATGTGAAGCAGAAACAGAATAGAGAAAATCTTGCCCTTTGAACTGAACTTTCAGTGACAGGGCCAGGAATTTTTAAGATGATAAGAATAACAAACCTGCTACTGACACCACCAGAAAGCCCCAAAAAGCGAGTTAATGTATGGATTATATTTTAATTGTCTAGTTCTCAGATGATCTCAGTCTTCTTTTTCATAAGGTCCACATGTATTTTTAAGACTAATGGACTTAAAATAGTTGTCATGCTTATAAAGGGCTGCTTAGTGCTATACCCTTAGACCCTACCTAATTCTGAAGACACAGATTTTCTCTCTTTTGGGGTTACTTCACTGGGAAAGTTTAGAGCTCCTTTAACTAAGGGGGTAAGGAAACTACTAACTTAAGATACTCCTTCTGCTGGGGGAACGTTGGATGTGTTGGAATTCAAAAGAAAAGGACCTGCTAGTCTTGCAGTAACATAAGGTAGGAGATGCTGAGAAGCTTACCTGTCAGTGGCAGCAAAAATGGAATGGAAGAAATGGATATGAAGAGAGTCTGAATATGAGTATAAAATCAAATATTGTGGTTGAGGGAGAACTTCCAAATTTATGCTTTGGATACCTGGTGCTGCTATAAATCAGGTTATGGGAAAGTACACACGAAAAACCCACAATTTGGTGGAGAAGAAAATGGATTTAATTTTGAACTAGTTGAATCTGAGATACTCTTATGGAATCCAGGAGGCAACGGGCTATGGATACATAAGCCTGGATTTGAGTGTTAGTATGAAGATATTTAATATCTTGGAAGTGTGGCAAAAATGGATCTCATCTTAAGAACTCCAACATTTCAGGGGGAATTGGGGAAGAAAAATTAAATAAAGTAGCAAAAGAGGAAAGGGTCAGAGAAAGAAATTTGCCGGGTTTTGTTTATTTGTTAATAATCAGGACACATCTTTCTTTATAAGCTCAAATATATATATGTGTGTATACACACAAACACTCACACACTATTTATAGTATATATTTTATTTTTATAATTGAAAATTATAAGAATAAAATTTGATTAGGTGTTAATGAAAGTATGAATATTAGAAAACATCATGATTCTGGCTGAAAAACGTAATATTTACTGTTTTCCCTTTTGTTATAGGGATTGCAGGAGACTGGAAGAATCACTTTACGGTAGCTCTGAATGAGAAATTTGATATACATTATGAGCAGCAAATGAAGGGGTCTACACTGAAGTTAAGAACTGAAATCTAAGAAGAGTTTCTTAATATATATGAGATTAAAGCTTTCTTTTCATCATTCTTCACTTTTTTCAAAGTTTAGGTTGGTAGAGGGGTGCCTGGGTGGCTCAGTTGGTTAAGTGTCTGACTTGATTTTGGCTCAAGTTGTCATCTCAGGGTTGTCAGATCAAGCCCAACATCAAGGTCTGTGATGAGTGTGGGACTTGCTTAAGAGTCTCTCTCATTCTTCCTCTGAGCCTCCCCCAACTCGTGCTGGCTCTCTCTCTTAAAAAAAAAAAAAAAAAATTAGATTGGTAAAGAAGTCATATGAAAGGGGCACCTGGATGGCTCAGTGGGTTAAAGCCTCTGCCTTCGGCTCAGGTCATGATCTCAGGGTCCTGGGATCGAGCCCCACATAGGGCTCTCTGCTCAGCAGGGAGTCTGCTTCCTCCTCTCTCTCTCTGCCTGCCTCTCTGCTTCCTGTGATCTCTGTCTGTCAAATAAATAAATAAAATCTTAAAAAAAAAAAAAGAAGTCATATGAAGGATCATGATCCGATTCACACGATTATTGAGATATTCATATAAAAAGAAGATTTTTTTCCCCATTACAATCTTTTTTCTTTCTTCTTCTCTTTTACAAATATTACACAAATCTATAATCTATAAATTATTACAAATCTATGATCTATGTGTATGATGTAGGAACACACATACAGTTTGAATTGTCAGAGTCTCATTTAAAACAGCAAAGCATTCCAAATTATTTTTGTGATTACTTTTTTCCATTTAGTAGTACCTTTAGTATATGAATATATTTATATACACATATATGCATAAATATGTATATTAATAACTCTGCAGGGACTTTGAAGACCATGGGAGAAAAACTAAAGAATAAATACATTTGGAGGCATAATTATAATATTATTTCCTTCTTGATTTTCTTTCATCTTCTGCAAAATCACTTAGGAATTTACCTTAGTCTAATATAAATTTTGGGCAGAACAGAACTGATTTCCAGTTGTATAAATAATCCTAATGAGTACTATTTATGCTTGAATGTCTTCAGCTAATCTGAAACATGCTGTAGAGGTCCTTCTGTCCAATATGCAATGTATGGAATGTAAGCTCTGTAAACTAAAGTATTAAAGAATGTGATATTTGCCAGTAAAACAAAACAAAAACAAAAGTAAGAGAAGAATAATTATTATTTTCTATTTAAGCAATGTTGTTTTGGCTTATGTCTCCTATTTTTCTATATCTTATTGGTGATTTTCTTTTCTATACTATGCTTATCATAACACTAAATGCTTCCTTTCTCTAAATCAGAAGACACACAAGGTCATGAAAAATTCACTATGTGCCTTTCGTAGAATATTGTATCTTTAATTAGTAAGCTAAAAAGCCAAATCCAGGGATAAATTGATATGATTTGTATTCTTACACCTTGGAGAAAAGTCTTGGGATTTTTCAGCACTCTGTTCAGTAATTATGATTTTTCAGAATCAGAGTTATTTTTAAAAAATGTGTAACATAGTTATACATCATGTAAAAATTGGAAAGTCTCAAAAACAGTTAAGATTTGTTTGGGGTGGGATGAGAAGTAGAATTTCAATCTCTGAAGGGAATAATTTTTAATTTAAAAAAATACCCATTTTCTGATTATTTTTTCATTTAACATTATAGTTTATAATAACAGAAGCTTTTTAATTTTGTAGTTTGTAGAACTGACAGTGGCTGTTGCCTAATGTATAACTAAACAAGAATAAACTCATGTATCTCTCTGACTTTAGTTTTTTAGTGAACCAGTGTATCCCAAGTTGGCCTGACTGAAATTTAGATCAATCACATTTCCCGATAGCTTGTCCAGAAATCTTTGTAACTTTTTTGGAGAAAGAAAGAGACTAGGATCTAGTTTGAAATTCAGATAGGAACTTCAAACCCTCTGAGATTTTTTGTCATCTTCCCTGAGCCGGGCTTCATGTCTGTGTGAGCTGGAGACAACTGAGCCTTGGATAGCATCATGTAGCGGGGCCGCAGGTGTAACCACTGCAGCTTTGGTTCTGTGCATCCTGGAAAGTTAGAAATTTCTGGTTACCTTAGTGTTTAAGGTTTCCCAATAATTAAATCTCTAGAATGATGACTTCAGGACAAGTGCTAGATGTTTAAAAGCACTAATGCTTGTTGACTGACTAACTGATTGATACCATGTTAAGACCAGAAAGTTCTTAGTAAGCATTTATTTATGACAGTTGTAACTGCACATAACTTGAACCATGGCAGAGAGTTCCTTTATATGGCTAAAACACCTGAGAATTCAATCTGGGCAACAAAATAAATAAAATAGTACTAGATTAAAACCCACTGATAAAATAAATATCCACAAATTCATGCTGATATAAATTAATTGAATAAATAGTTATGTGTGGGAACATATATAAATATCCAATACAGAAGAATTCTAGCTATGTATAACTCCCATTCCATCCCTTAAGTATAGGATTCAATAATGACTTCAAAAGAGTATGGAAAGGGTCAAGGCTAGAGTGGGAAGGGGAGAGTGACTTTACAGTGGAGAAACCTGGCAAATACTAGCTCAACTAGTTGATCAGGGTTAACATCTTCAATGATAAGACACATTCATAGAAAATACCTCTGGCACATGATGAAAATAAACTTGCTGATCTTTTCCCCCCAAATGTATAACCATTGTATAACCACAGAAAAACCATCAGATAGGGATGCCTGGATGGCTCAGTTGGTTAATCATCTGCCTTTGACTCAAGTCATGATGCCAGGGTCCTGGGATTGAGTCCTACATCAGGATCCCTGCTCAGTGGGAAACCTGCTTCTCCCTCTACCTGCTGCTCTCCCTGCTTATGCTCTCTCTTTCTCAACCTCTCTCTCTCTCTCTCTATGATGAATAAATAAGTAAAATCTTAAAAAAAATCAGTGATGCCTGGGTGGCTCAGTGGGTTAAGCCTCTGCCTTCGGCTCAGGTCATGGTCTCAGGGTCCTGGGATCGAGCCCCACATTGGGCTCTCTGCTCAGCAGGGAGCCAACTTCCCCCTCTGTCTCTGCCTGCCTCTCTGCCTACTTGTGATCTCTCTCTCTCTGTCATATAAATAAATAAATAAAATCTTTAAAAAATAAAAAAAAATTGTAAAAATCAGATAAAACCAAATTGAAGGAAGAACAATACAAAAATACCTGACCAAGGCTCCAGTTTTATCAAGATCATCAAGAACAGAGAAAATCTGAGAATCTTGTCACAGTTAAGAGGAGTCTAAAGACACATGACTCCTAAGTATAATGTGGTACCCTAGATGTGAATTTGACTAACATCTACAGGATTCTAATAAAGAATAACCACATAACCTACATAACCTTTAGCGAATAATAATTTATCAACTTCAATTCATTTAATATGTAGTGAAAATACCATTGAAGTATAAGAGGTTAATAATAGGGGGAAATGGATGCTGATCGTACAGAAACTCTTTGAAGTTCTTTCTTTCCTGCAACTCTTGTGTTTTGTTTTTTTTCTGTAAAAGTACAGATAGTAAATATTTCCAACTTGCAAGCTATATGGTCATCATTGCAACTATTCAGCTTTGTCACTGTAGCTTGAAGGGAGACAGAGACAACAACACGCAAGTGAATAAGTGTGTCACTTTGTTAAAATAAAACTTATTTACAAAAACAAATAGAAATGCAGATTTGGTCTGAAGGCTGTAATTTGCCAGCCTCTCTAATTTTTTCTTTCTTCCATTTTTGGAAGTGTAGAGACACCTTCCATTTTTAGAAAGCCTAGGAATGCACCAAATGGTATATTTTATCCATAACTTACTTGCTCCTTGTTGACTGTCTTTCAAAATATCTACATAACCACATTGCTAGAATCAAGTGTCTTTTAGCTTATATTAAATATACAAGTATATTAAGACAAGTGTTGGAAGTTAAAATCTTTATCTAGGGTTAATCTGTACCAAAATTAAACAACACATTTTTAAAAAATATGAGTACTGGAATTAGAAAGAGTACTTTAAGGATTTTTGCTATTTCTTTTAATTGCAAATAAAAAAAAATAGCTTCTCCACCATCAACAACAAAAATGTCTCTCCTTAAAATCTGAATTTTCCTTTACTGCAGAGGAACAGTTCTTGGTATCGGAGTAATGCCAGCCTCTCTACTTGTGCACTAAATTCTTCAACTGTCATCTAGTTTAGCAATTGATATTTCTCTCTGTATCCTCATTATTTTCTCTTCTTGCATGATCAGTTCCCATCAGCAAAAATGTTGGAATATCTTACAATTTAAAACACAACAAATATTTGCATCAAACATCCTCCAGATAGTCCTATATTTTTCTGTTCTTCTTTATGTCAGAAGCATTTGAGAATTGTCTATAACTACTGCAACCAGTTTTTCACTTTACCCTTCTCCTGTGTCTTTTTCTGAATGTTTCATTAAATTTCACTACGCATTCACAAATACAAAGAACATAGATATTCATACACACATGTGCATTTTTATAAATACATATACATTTATTTCTAAGTCTGACTATACTAATTATAAAAAAATACAAGTTTATATTAATACCTACAAATCCAAAACCTCAAGGGATTGTCTAGCCTTCTTATTTTCCAAAATTGTAAATTTGTTCCCACTATCTCTAATGTACTTATTTGTTTGCTCAGTTCCCCCAACCCTATGATCATCTTGGCCACCTTCTCTGTCCTTCCCCCTACTTGACCCTTGGCCTCATTGCCACTTTCTCATTCTCCAAGCATGCTTTTGCCTGCCAGACCCCAGTAGCTTCTCAGCCCTTAGCAATGCTTCCACTTGCAAGGGAAAGAAATAAAAAGAGGAATTTGCATACTTTTGTGGCCTAAAGTTTTCAGGACTAATTTAAAACACAGGTTATATAAGCCTTCCTAATAATAATAATAATAATAATAATAATTCTGTCCTAAATATTTGAAAGTTGCTAAGAGAGTACATCTTAAAAATTCTCATCACAAGAAAGAATTTTGTACCTATGTATGGCGACAGATGTTAAGTAGATTTATTGTGGTAATTTTTGCAATATATACAAATATCGATTTATGTTGTATACTTGAAATTAATCTAATATTATATGTCAATTTCATTTCAACTAAAAAAATTATCCCTTTAACA